AGTGGTAGTGGTAATGGTAGTCGTCGTAGTAGTAGTCGTAGTAGTAGTAGTAGTAGTAGCAGTAGTAGTAGCAGTAGTAGCAGTAGTAGTAGCAGTAGTAGCAGTAGCAGTAGCAGGAGCAGAAGCAGCAGTAGTAGTAGTAGTAGTACTACTACTACTACTACTACTACTACTACTACTACACTACCCTACTAGTGCCGGTCGACTACCACTGCTGCCACCACCACTACGCTGCCGGTGCCGCGGCAGCTACCAATGCCAATCTTCATACCTGTACCACTACCACTACCACCACTCTGTTAGTACAAGTAGTGGATGTAGAAGAATGCGGAAACAATGGTAATCGCATCCGAGGCATCGGCTGCCGAAGCCGGGCCCTGCGGCGTCCTTCGGCTGGAGTGCGCGCTGCTTGGCCTCGAAGCTCGGTCGCTCAAGCTCTGGAGTCTGGTGCAAAGGGAAGCCAAAAACTGCTACAATTGACTCCCTCATCGAGTCGTCGTCACTAAAAACATCGCTGCCAATGCTATGACAAACATGGTGCTGGAGAAAACCATGATTATAACGATGATAAAGACGAGATAATCATGAACATGACGATGATAACCATGATGATGGAGACCTTCTCACAGCAAACACCCGTCTGGACTCAGAATCTTGCAAGCTCCATCTGCTTCTTCTTGGCCATTTCTCTGGCCTGCGAAAGGGCTGGAACGCAGCCAACCCCACTGCTGTGTTCAGGTCGAAAGTCCATCAAGCTTGGTCTGCTTGAAATCTTGCCAATCAACCCCTTGGCAGGTCGGCCTCGTTTATTTTGCTCTGCTCCACCATCATGTGCCTCTGCACTGGCATGTAGTCAAAACTTGAAGTTCAGGCGCGTGGCATCTGCACTTGCAATTCGTGTGCTGAGTTCCGGTGCAACCTCTCTTCGTGGCTGTCCATCTCCGTGTAGGTCTTAATCTGGGAGAGTGTGACCTAAGAGCGAGCCAGCTGCACCAACTTGTCTCTGGGCCGGTGTCATATCAAGTGGAGGCTTCGGGGGAACGTCGAGAAGAGCCCAAACCAAATGACCCAACAGCAGGTGGTGTACAGCAGTATCCGAATCGACTACGTCTATCATCTTAGCCATTGGCACTTTCGCGGTAGCCGAAGGAGATAACCTGCCCGCACATGGTCACAACTACAGTACAGCTGCGTGGGCAGACGTTTGTTGTCTAAAGCTTTGCGGTTGTGTTTGGACTTAAAGGGACCCTGCATTGTAAGTCCGCATGTCGCAAGATATACACATAGTTGTGCGCTGTGCATTCTGCCACGCACCCCACCATTCCACAAAGGAGGGCCGGAACTAAGCTCAAGACCCAAGCCCTTCCAAAAGTGGGGGCGAGGGGGATGACCGTGCAGGGATTAGCGGGAATGGCCGTGTACCATGTATGGTATCCGAGCTACAGGAAGAGGGTAGAGCGGAGAATCCGTTCCACAGGCAGGGGAGAATCAATCCGAACCACGGGCGGGGGACTGGAATCTCCAAGTACATGGCAGCAGTATATAGCAACCCAATGGCAGTAGGAGCTGCTGTACAGAAAATCACATATACACCATCAGAAAGTACCTCGCAAGTGTGGCAAACCCGTAAATACCACAAAGGACGGGAGAGTGTGAAGAATCCGTTCCACAAGCAGAAGGGGGAAGCAACCCAAAAGCAAGTGGGAATGGCAAACATATACCCCACATACTGTGCGTATGGACCATGGGGAGGGACCGCCACAGCACAGCCATTTACCTTCAGCTGTCTTCAGCCCTCTGCAGCTGCACATGTCCAGTAGATATTTCGTATGTCTGCGAGCACCGTTGCTACAATCGCCTCATCGAAGGCGAAAACTATGTCGAAGGCGTGCTTGAGCACCTGAGCAAAGAGAAGGTTCGCAGCACAGCAAAGACTGTAAGAAGCAGCATCCGACGGGACCATGCTGGCACTCGCAATGCCTGTGATCTCTCACCCGCAAAAAATCGCAAAAAGGCAATGGACTCCAAACAGTACTCATCCACTCCGCTCGGCTGAGTGGTTCCACGTTCTCCTCGGAGACCTGGATCTCGCAGCAGTCCTGCACTACCTGAAGGATTCACGCCGTGCAATGCAGATGTCGCGCTACTTTTCGCAGTGCGGGCGGACGTGGCTACGAACTGCCGGACGAAGCCGAAACCCAAACCTCGAGCTGGGAATCAAGCGCCCGAGCCTGAACTTCATCTGAACTGCAAGCCCTGATTTTGTCGTCCACGCCTTGGCCAGCAGCCGCAAAGTTTCCAAGTCCTCAATTACATCTGAAGTCTGGCTTGCGACAGCACGTCTCATCAAAATCGACTGAAAACGTCCGACAGATCTGCTGCGCTCCTCCAGGATGTTGCTGGCCTTGTTTGTAATGACAACGAGGTTCAAGGCCTCCATGGGTTGGTAGACGTAGCGGACGGACCTTATGGCGGGGCAGTCGCCTATCCGACTCAGCCACACATGGGGCTTCTATACTTCTATTTCGCTTCGCTGCCCCCAAGCATCGTAAATGTCCCGACCTGGCCACAGGATGTCCGAAGCTCAGTCGCCCGCTCCGTCTCGACCTGGCCGCAGACGCCACAGGCCAGGGTGTAGGATGGTTCGGCCGAGGACCCTTGAAACGGCCAGGGCCCGGACGAAGGTGTGGTCCTTGCCGGTGTCGATGAGCTTTGTGAAAGCTCCCAGCAGGCCCTGGCACATAGACTTCTCCGACGGAGCCCGGCCCACTCTTCTGCCCTGCCTCGATCCGGAGCCGAGTCATCTCCACAAACTGGCCTGGCATGGCACATGACTCGCATGACTGCATGGCAGTGGCGTGGCGAGCGGCGAGCAGAGATTAGCTCGAATCGCACTGCCCGCTCAGACCATGCAGCCCAACATGGCTGGCTCGCGTGCTACCAACGTCTTATCCTTCTTCACGATGGCAGCTGATAGCACCACCATGATCCCTGCAGCGGCACGACTTGCAAGCTTGACGTGCAAACACCAAGTTTTGTGCCTTCCCATGGCCGGACGAGCCAAAGCTACAATCCCCAACTAACATGGCATGCTGGCTTTCCCGTCGCTGCAATAGAAACAGTAACAGCTTCGCCAGCAGCAGAACGACGACAATAAGAACACACAAACAAGAACTACCAGATCCAGGCGCAACCACCGAAGCCCGCCTACGCGGCACCGGAGCCTGGCACACAGGCAAGGCGTGCCGGGGTTGACAGTGCACGACCGAACGGACGGATCTCGTGTGCCATGAACCGCACACCATCACTCCATCACCATCCAAGAACATGCAAGCCGTCGTTCCCGGGAAAATGACTTGATGACGTTTCGCGGATATTCGGAAGCTTGGAGTCTGAAGCGGTCAGGATCGGTCAGGCCTGCGCCTGCAGCGCAGCAGACCCCTGTGCCCAACCGAAAAGATGCCCCTAAGGGACTCGAAGCCGCCGCAGCAACGACGAAAGCATCCCGTGCCGTGTCGTGCCGTGTCGCGCCCTCACATGCCCATGACAGATCTTCAGCCTCAACTACGATGACAGGCAACTACAACGGTGTAGCGGTAATCAAGCGAACCGGCCAGCTCGCGCTCTTTTCGGAGCTTCAAGCTTTGTCAAAGCATCCAATGTGGCACTTTGTCCACAAAAACGCTTGGGAAAGGGTGGCTGCACCTTCCCCGAAATCATTAGCCAAATCCAAGGCATTCACTCAGAGTCTAGCGATAGCCAAGGCGACGTTCGAGCTCGGCCACCTGACCGCGAAAGGTGCATAACATAGGCAATCTATCAGAGACCAAGTCGCAACTCTCGAGACGACGGACCACCGGGTGGATTTCACACAGCGCTGCGCGACCTCGGCCTCCAGCGCTGTCGTCTCGCCACGCATACCTGGCAGCCATGCGGTGGCGTAGGCGAGTCCTCGTATCGCGAAACTCCGGATCATCGTCGTCATCATCACTGTCACCAACACCATCACAATCATCATCAGCAGCATCATCAGCATTATCATCATCATCATAATCATCATCATGGGGAGTTCCAAGTTAAACAGCCTCGGGAACTGATTCGACGGTAAGTGGTGATCACTTCGAGCCTGTAAAAGCCAAAGTAACGCAGCACACAGCAGACCTTACACCTACTAGCTACTCGCATCGCCTAGCAGTATCAAGTTATAAACTGAAGCTCTCAGATCGGCAGAACTCCGCAGTGGCCACGGTGCTTTATGAGCACCGAGCCGAGCGAGCCCACGACATGCTAGGAAACACATGGAAAGCCAGCCCTCCGTCAAGATGTCCATGCGAATTTCATCCCGGTCAACCGCTTTGCCTTCGCTGGGGCCAACCCCTGCGGCTGCAGAAAACACTGCCTGGCTTGAGCAGCTTGCAGCAGGCTCCGGAAGTTCATTCTCTCACATCTGCACGTCGTGGAGCGTTTCCGCCTCCCCGAAATCTTAGCGTTACCAGAGCCAACTCGGTACTGAGAAACATGCAACTCCAAGCGGCTTGAACCGAATCACCGAAGTGCTCCTCTTCTACAAGAGGCGATTCCTGCTTGTGATCTTAGGAAACACCTGAGACCCACACTGCCGCGCGCTGCGGCGACGTGTGCAGGTAACCTGCCCAAAATGCTTGAGAAGTGTGGCTCACGGGGCGCCTGCGAACGACTGCAGCATACTAGTGCTGTTCCCCTGTCTGCCTGGGGGAATGGCCTGAACATCAATCGGCGTCAAGGCCGAGCACGCCTTGGCATGAGAGCTGAAAAAGCAAATGTTCTTCAAACCAGCGAGGAGTCCGAAACGGCGCGAAACACAATGAAACTATTGCTGCTAGGAGTGCAAACAGAAACTTGTCGAGGCATCGACGATTTTGCCGCCCGGGTACTCCACGAACGGTCCCTGCGAATGTGTCACTTCGACTAACGTGGTCACGATTTTGGTGGCTAGGGGCATTCGTGCCTCGCACCGGCAGCGCAACAGCAGTCGTGGGGCAAAGAACAAGCCCCCGCGTCTCCTACACAAAGCGACGAGTGGCACATATTCATGTCTGCGTAGTTTGCACAGCTTGACGCCATTGGAAACTTGGTTTGGTTTCATTGGGCAACATGGGATAGAGCTTGTGGTAAGAAATTGATTCCGAATTGCATAAAAGATCTGAACACCCGCTGCCTTTTTGACTTCGGAAAGTCTGTCAGTCTTAAACGCACAACCATTGAATACTCAAACAACAACTCGCCGAGCATTACACGCTCAGGGGGCTTGGACTGCAACCACAAAGCTGCGAGGAAGGATGGCAAAGCTAGGGCACAAAGCCCACCCCGAGAAACTTCCGACCTCACGCTTGTGGATTCCTAGAGCCCCTTCCAGCTCAGGGGATTTGCAGCTTCTGTTCTGCAGCCTGCTCCTTGCTTCCTAAACGCAACGCAGTTGCTCATTCCTCTACCATTAGCATCCGGGACTCTGCAGATACGACTATTCTCCCGGAGGTGTGCTGCAGACGAAGTTTGTCACAATTTACAACAAACCCAGAATGGTTTTTGCCCCGAGACCGTGTTTTTTTCGAAATGAGCCCAGTGGCGCGGGCACTCGATGCCGGAGTGCGGCTGCCTGGGTGCGGCAGACGTACCTGACAAAGGAACGACTCAGCCGATCACAAGTGCTACAAAACAGTTCAGATGGGCACAAGCCACCAGAGTGGTTTGGCCCGGCTTCGTCCCTGCGGCAGGGGCAGGGCTTCAAAGTCAGAGGCCCACCCTGGAACCGTGCGTGTACTTCACTCCGCTAAAAATCAATCATCAGGCCCCATGCGCCCAAACATATCGCATCGACGAGCGCCAACCCAAAAACTGAACTCAACCGGATGTCTGCAAACCAGCTTTAGCAAAGGAAAGGACTCAACAGAAAGAGGCAGAGAGCGAGCGAGCGCGAGCGAGACAGAGACGGACACGGAGACGGAGACCGAGACAGGTAAGTGAGAGCGAGAGCGAGAGCCAGAGCAATAAGCGAGGGAGCGAGGGAGAGAGGGAGACAGGGCGAGAGAGAGACAGAGAGAGAGCGAGAGAGAGCGAGAGAGCTGCTCCTGACGCATGTGGCCCACACACAACACATATACATGCAGAGATCCACATGATTGTCAATTTGGGCGCAGGTACCCGGCACTTCTCTCGCCTGATGGTCGCACCCAGCGAGTACTCCGTGCGATCTCCCGCCCAGATGCTCAGAAGGCGATTGCCCACCTGCTCAAAGCTGGCTCTGCGATCCGAGGCATCAATGCACTATGACATACGGGGGATTGCACCAACGTTGTCAAGTCTCTCGAGACATTGCTTCGGGCATGTGTTTTAAGCACGCGAGTGAGACATCTGCAAACATATCTTGAGAAGAAGCTTTCTTACGGGCTACGGTGCATGGCTGTGTTCCATCGGTTTGCTTCCTTCCCGGCCACCGCGTGCTTACTAGTACTGCTGGTCGTGCCGTTGCTAGCGCTAGCGCGAATAGCAGCCGCAGTAGCAGCAGCAGCAGCAGCAGCAGCAGGAGGAGGAGGAGGAGGAGGAGGAGTTGTTGTTGTTAGGAGTTGGGAGTTAGGAGTCAGGAGTTATGAGATAGGAGATAGGAATTAGGAGCTAGGGGTAGGAGTGGGAGTGGGAGGAGTAGTCGTCGCATTCGTATTCGTAGTCGAATTCGTCGTGGTAGTGGTAGTCGTAGTCGTAGTCGTCGTCGTCGTAGTCGTAGTCGTAGTCGTAGTCGTACTCGTAGTCGTACTCGTAGTCGT